GCATAAAGCCGCGGCCGGAGGGCCCGGGAGCCCAGCAAGCGGTCAGCCCAGGAGAGGACCCGGACCGGCTTCCAGCTCCTGCAGCCTCCCAGCCCAGCCAAGACCATGCGCCCCGTCCCGGCTCCGGCGCTCCTCCGCGCCCTGCGCCTGCTGCTGCCCCTGGCCGCCTGCGCCCTCGCCTACCCCGCCTGGAGCAACTCCGACGACCTGGTGCACCTGTACACCTCCAGCGCCAGGAAGAGCCTCCACCTGCGGATCCATCCCGACGGACGCGTGGACGGCAGCCCGGACCCGACCGTGGACAGTAAGTCCCCCGCGGAGCTGCCCAGCCGGCTGGTGCTGGAGGGATGGGGAGGGGGACCGGATATGTCCAGGATCGGCCCCGAGGCTCCGGAGTGCTAGGAATTCAATAAGAGTAGAATGGAATAGGATAGGGAAGGGTAGGGTAGGGTAGGGTAGGGTAGAGTAGAGTAGAGTAGAGTAGAATAATGGAATGAAGAATAGAATAGAATAGAATAGAATAGAATAGAATAGAATAGAATAGAATAGAATAGAATAGAATAAGTGAAGGATAATAATAATAATAATAATAATAATAATAATAATAATAATAATAATAATAATAATAATAATAATAATAATAATAATAATAATAATAATAATAATAATAATAATAAAGTTGGAAGGGATCTGGGAGGTCATCGAGTCAGGAAACCCTACACCATTTCGGACAGGATAGAATAGAATAGAATAGAATAGAATAGAATAGAATGGAATGGAATGGAATGGAATGGACTGGACTGGACTGGACTGGACTGGACTGGACTAGAATAAAATAGACTAGACTAGACTAGACTAGACTAGACTGGACTGGACTGGACTGGACTGGAATGGAATGGATTGGACTGGACTGGACTGGACTAGACTAGAATAAAATAGACTAGACTAGACTAGACTAGATTAGACTAGACTAGAATACAGTAGAATAGAATAGAATAGAATAGAATAGAATAGAATAGAATAGAATAGAATAGAATAGAAAATATGGCATGGCGTGGTGTGGCATGGAATAGAATATGGAATGGAATTTCTTAAGCTAGGAAGATTGTTTCCCCTTTTGACTAAGATTGTGGCAAATGTTTTGCTACGAATAGCCAGAATTTATTTATTTATTTATTTATTTATTAAATTTATTTATTTATTAAATTTATTATTTATTTATTTATTAAATTTGGGAAGACCTGGGAGGAACCAGATAACAGTATTCCGGTATTTGAGGTCGCCCTTTCTGGCTGAAGAGATGTATGGAGAGGCCTCCTAATATTTTGAGCCGTTCACTTGCAGGTGCTTTGGTAATCAGAACCCTGCTTCCAGGCTATGTAATGATCAGTGGTCCGAAGAGCGGACTCTACCTTTGTATGGACAGCAGCGGAAATCTCTTCGGATCGGTGAGTCCCAATATTCATTTGGGATTATTTGATTTCTTTCTTAGCGCAGCCAAGCCATTAAGGACTTGGGCTACGATAGTTAAATTAGGTTTTCTTTGCCTACGAAGTGGAAGGAGACAATTATACCACGCTCAAGTCCTTTCAGTTGTGATTGGGGAATGTTTGTTTCTTTGTCTGGAGATCCGGTGACATAACATGATGTGAAGGGCTGCTCACATCTTCCTTCTGCGTCAGAGGTCCCCAATCCTTTGGGCACCAGGGACCAGTTCCGTGGAGAGAGGTTTTTCCGCAGACCGGAGGGTGCGTGGTTTTGTGTGCTACCCACATCCTGCGGATGGGGCTTTGCTTGTTTGTGCGGACCAGTTGCTGGCATGCCACAGACCGGTACTGGTCCACGGACCGGGAGTTGGGGACCCCTGTTCTAGAACATCCACAGCGTGTTGTGATTCATCTATGGAGAACTTGAATGTCAGGCACCAAGGATCAGGACCGCAGGTGAAGTTGCAGTTCAGAAAATTTATTGTTCAATCCTGTACGCAAAAGTCAAGTAAGGGTCAATTCTAAATTGACCCCAGGTAAGAGTCAATGGAATTCAAGAGGATTGGATTCACAACCTTTGTGGGAACGTAATGACTCTTAAGTTTATGATGCACTAAATTCCACCTTCTCCAACACTGGCTGCTCTTCTATATTGGAGGGACATATAGTTTTCTCCACTCTGGGCCTGATCCACTGCGCCACTGACAGTGAACTGAACATGATACAGTACGTGAAACTTCCTGACAGTGAGGACAATTAATTAGTGGAAAGACTTGCCACCAGAAATCATGGGCGCTCCATCAATGGAGGTTTTTAAGGCTAGGCAGTCACTTGTTCTAAAATGATATGGGTTAAGGTTATGTCACCATGGAGAGCAAAATGGACATCGCCAACAAATTTGGAGTGCTTGGGTATGGTCAGAAAGGCAATGACTTTTCTAGGCTGCCCTATCTATGTTTCCTGGTAAAATACATGGGAAAATCCCATTGGAGGAAAATTCCACTTAGAGTTAGGGTTAGGTCACCATGAACTCATAGAGCAAAATGGACATCGCCAACAAATTCGGAGTGCTTGGGTATGGTTAGGAGGGCACTGACTTTTCTAGGCTGCCCTATCTATGTTTCCTGGTGAAATACATGGGAAAATCCCACTGAGGAATATTCCACTTATAGGTTCTCCTGCTTGAGCAGGAGGCTGGACTAGAAGAACTCCAACGTCCCTTCCAGCTCTATTCTATTCATATCCATATTCATCATGTTATGAGATTTTGAAGACAATCCTGTGCTTGAATCCGACTTAAACCCCTCCATCCCCCCCAAAAAAAATCACAGTTTCTCCGGGATTGCAGACATCTGTCCGGTTCTATCAAATCTCCAGGCTATTTAAATATTAGTTCAGTACAGGTATAGTCCTTGACGTACGCCCAAAATTGAGAAATTTGTTAAGTGATTTTGGCCCCATTTCACGCCCTTTCTCGCCACCGTCGTTTAGGGAATCACTGCAGTTGTTAAGGCAGTACCACGGTTGTTAAGCGAAACCGGCTTCCCCTTTGGCTTTGCTTGTCAGATGGTCCCAAGATGGGAGCACGTGACCCCCCCGGGGGGGACGCTGCGACCGTCCTAAATACGAACCGGTTGGTAAGCATCTAAATGTAAATCATGTAAATCACGATGGTCGTTACGCGTGAAAAAAGGTCCTTTTTTCAGTACCGTCGTAACATCGGACACTAAGAGAACTGTTCCAGGTTGACGGCTCCCTATATACCGGACCTGGGTGTGCATCGCTTGCAAACGAAATTCTTTTGAGATGTAAGAGCCGTGAAATCAAACATCCTAAAGAAGTGGAGAGAACGAGTATTGGGGAAATATTCAATACCTACGGTAAGTTAATTCTTCGCCGTATTTTTCAGCCCTGCCTTGTTTTGTTTGTGTTTCTCTTTTCTTTAGCGTTCCTTCAGCAACGAGGACTGCACCTTTAAGCACACGATGCTTGAAAATGGCTACGATGCTTATCATTCCCCCAGGCATAATTTCCTGGTCAGCCTAGGAAGGGTGAAGAAAGCTTTGGTTCCCGGAAGGAACCTACCGTCCTTTTCTCAGTTTTTAACCAGAAGGAACGAAATCCCCTTGGTCCAGTTCGACACACCCAGGCCTCAGCAGGAGGAGCCCAGGAACGCCAACGCCGAGCCGTGTGGTGGGGGCCTCTTGACCACTGGAAAGCTGCCCGAAGAAAATCTGGATGAGGAGGCCCTCGACCCTTGTTTTGACTACTCCAAAGAGAGAGACCCCAACGGAGCGACGCTCGACGGAACGTTTCCTAGCCCTCAATGGTCCTGAATGGAAGCTGAAGCTGAAGGACGACGTCGGGGAAGCGGACTCTCTGTCGAATCGTCAAAGAAAGCTAAATTCCTTTTGTTTTTCCCCCCAGATGAATTGTTCAGAATAAGGGGTGATAGCTGGGTCTGCGTCTTCCCGGTCCCGGCACTGGTCCTGAATGACAAACCTGGAGCGTGGGTGACGAGGGTAGTGTTGTACGTTTTGCTCTGTCTACGTTGTAATGTTGAAGCTTCGTAACCGTAATGCTGTACGGTAGATAAGAGTCTTGCCGTGTCACACAGCGCACCCACACTGACTGGCCGAGATTGTGAAGTTGCCAATGGCCGAGGTTGAGAAACACCGGTTCAGCTCTTTCTGAATTAGCATTATTTCCCCCTCACATTATGTCAGGGGTCTTCAAACTTGGCCCTTTTATGACTTGTGGACTTCAACTCCCAGAATTCCTCAACCAGCATGTCTGGCTGAGGAATTCTGGGAGGGGTCTTCAAACATGGCCCTTTTATGACTCGTGGACTTCAACTCCCAAATTCCTCAGCCAGCGTGCCTGGCTGAGGAATTCTGGGAGGGGTCTTCAAACGTGGCCCTTTTATGACTTGTGGACTTTAACTTCCAGAATTCCTCAGCCAGCATGCCTGGCTGAGGAATTCTGGGAGTTGAACTCCATGAGTCATAAAAGGGCCATGTTTGAAGACCCCTATGCTGTATGGATAGCCCTTGACTTACAACAGCTTGTTTAGTGACTGTTTAGTGACTGATACAGACCCAGCTTGCTCTTAAAGAGACACAGACCCTGCTGAGTCATTCCCACCATTACATCCTACATTACATAAGTTGGTTAGCTGTTAAATCATCACCTTGACACAGCCCTCTTCCAAAACAGTGTGTGACATGGCCCAATTATCTCACAATATCCCAAAACAAGTATAAGGGGTCCAATTCAGCTAGGATTTTCCTTTGGGTCTTGGCAGGATTCCCTCATGACTAAGCTGTATTCAGGATATTGACCCATCCTATCAACCTGTTGGGTGAAGGTAGGCTTTGCGTAGGAAAGGTTAAATCCTGATTTCTTGGCATGGGTTATCAACAAGCAGATGGAGGGGAACGGGCAGATATGCGTCCAGTCCGGGAGAACAGAGTTGGGATGCTCCATAAAGCAACTTTGTGGCCTGTTAAAGCATTAGCAGGCATCCATCCCTCCGGGCTGGGGTTCAAATCCAGGTCAAGCAAACCCAATGGAGGATTTATCTAACAACCACATTAATCTCTTTACAGTGATTTGCTATGGCAAAAAAAAAAAAAGATTGAAAAATGGGTTATCAACAATCAGATGGAGGGGAACAGGCAGCTAAGCGTCCTTTCCAGGAGAACAGAGTTGAGATATTCCATAATGCAGATAACGAGAAGGCAATGTATTTATTTTTCTATTCCCATATTTATTTATTCGAATTATTCTCATGTTGAAGATTTATGAGTATTTATGTTTGTTATTCTGCCCCTCGGTTCTGTCTCTCGACGAAGACGAAATAAATGTTTCCCGTTTTTCGAGGGAGAAACATGTCTTTATTAAACATTCCTGTTTTAATTCAGTGCAGCGCTCTCCCCTTTTAATTAACCCCATCCCAGCCCACTGTGACGCTCTGCCATCCTCCATCTCTCATTAATGTCGCCAGAGGGTTGTTGTTGTTGTTTTTACAAAAAAATAAAACAAAAACCAGACTTTTGTGGCTCGCTCAAAAGGTATATTTTAATGGTCTTGCAAGTTAACATTATTAGAAAGAATAAGAAAAACAATTCTCTGAAGGCTCAATAAATAGAAACGAGGCAAGGGTTTTGCATACGTTGAAAAGGAAATACAGAGCAGTTGAGAATTTAAACAAAGGAAATCGTAGACTTTCGTTGACGGGGGCTTGAGGTCAAACACAAAACGAAAACGAACCGACTGAAAAAAATGATGTATCTTAAATACACATACAGGGAAAACAAGACCTCAGGTTTTGCATATCTGAAATTAAGAGTCAACAGCGCAGGCAAGGCAAGGATATTTGGAGGTATATATTTTCTATCTAGGAGAAGCTAGATTTTGAAAGTCTATCTATCTATCTATCTATCTATCTATCTATCTATCTATCTATCTATCTATCTATCTATCTATCTATCTAATCTGTGTCTGTCTGTCTGTATTTGTCTATCTATCTATATATTTTCTATCTAGGAGAAGATAGATTTTGAAAGTCAATGTCTGATGCTCCTTCTGATACATCCCAGGAACCTTGCCCCAAACTGGTGAGGCCATTGACTCTTTTAATGCCATCCCAGGAAAGAAGGTGGAGAAAAAGAGCTGGACTGATCTCATTGCATTTTCTACAAATATGACTCAGTGAAGGGTTACACCAGGGGTCTTCAAACTTGGCTTTTTTATGACTTGTGGGCTTCAACTCCCAGAATCCCTCAGCCAGGCACGCGTGCCTGGCTGAGGAATTCTGGGAGTTGAAGCCCAGTGCCTGGCTGAGGAATTCTGGGAGTTGAAGCCCACAAGTCATAAAAGGGCCAAGTTTGAAGACCCCTATGTTACATCTTCTTCGTCTTTGGCATGTGGGTGACAGAACATCTAAACCTTCATAAAGCCATAAGCCAATTTCTGAGTGTTAGCATGCAACCCAAAGACTCGTGCGCTTGGTCTCCATGTTACAGAGAAACGCGTTGTCTTATCGCCAAGAATAAGGAACTGGGTCTGAGAACAGAATCATCATGGTGGAAGTCTACTACAGAGAAACACGTTATCTTATCTCCAAGAATAAGGGACTGGGTCTCACAACAGAATCATCACGGTCGAAGTCTAATGCCCGCGAGTATTGGAACGCATCAGAATAATTTCACATTAGAGCAGTAGCTTTACTGGCCAACACAAGGTGACAAAAAAGAAAAAAAGAAAAATGCACAATTGTTTTAATTCTCAGTAGCGGCTACAGAGTAGTGGGTTGAAGAACCACCGCTTAACCCCTCAATTCTCTGATGGTTTTGGAAGTAGATGTCAAAAATTAAAAAAGAAGGTCCAACTTCATCTTGCTTATAACTTAGAATGTGGTTTGGCTGTATAGGATTTTTTTTTTTTTTGAAAGAAAAATCACACACACACAGACACACATATATATATTGCACTATTATTCACAGATAATTCCTTGCAATGAGCATAGGGTAAATTCCACCAGGGAGGTCCCCTTGTGCAATTTCTGCGAAAACAAACTTGAGTCTTCTTAGGACGGGGTCTTCAAACCTGGCCCTTTTATGACTTGTGGACTTCAACTCCCAGAATTCCTCAGCCAGGCCAAGTTTGAAGAACCCTTGACTTGTGGACTTCAACTCCCAGAATTCCTCACGCAGCGTGCCTGGCGGAGGAATTCTGGGAGTTGACGTCCACAAGTCATCAAAGGGCCAAGTTGGAAGACCCCTCTCGTGCTAGGTTTTCAACATTTTAATGTTAGAAGTGTCGCAACGGTAATGCTGTATAGCAGGGGCCTTCCAACTTGGCCCTTTCATGACTTGTGGGCTTCAACTCCCAGAATTCCCCAGCCAGGCATGCTGGCTGAGGAATTCTGGGAGTTGAAGCCCACAAGTCATCAAAGGGCCAAGTTGGAAGACCCCTCGTGCTAGGTTTTCAAGCTCGACTGAAAAGATGATTACGAGGCCACGGGGGAACAAATAATTCCTGCCCATGTTAAGTTTTCGGGCTGCATGCTCTCAGCTGTCACTTAGGGCGTGCAAGTGATCCCTTTGGTTGAGAAAGAGGCAGTGGATTTTGGGCTGAAGGCCCTCCTCTCTCACTTCCAGTTTGACAAGGAAGCGGCTAATCCCCGTATTGGGAGTCAGCGAAGACAATTCAGCCTTTGTCAACGTGGCGGGCAAGGTGCACCGCAGCTCTGAAACGAAGTAGCCGAGCCAGTTCCTCATGTAGGCCCCATGACTCACAACCAGGATGTTGGCTGCCAGCCCTCCTGCGGCTCCTTCGGAATTGGCATCGCGGGCCAGCCCAGCCCGGCGGTTTGGCAACGAAGGGGCGGAGGTTCCTTCCGCCGTTTCTGCGTTGAATTCTGCCCTCGGGGCAAGTTGGTTTTCCAGACAGGCCTCTTGGGCCACCAGGTGGCAAATGTGTTCAAAGAAATCCTTGGCCCGGGCTTTGACCTAAAGGAAAAGGAAAGCAGAACGGAAGCTTTGCGAAGTTATTTGCAGGATAGGTGATTTTCTTTTTCTTTTTTTTTTAAATCAAGGTGACCTCCGAAGTCCCTTCTCAATTTCTCTCTGTTTCTGAGTTGCTTTTCTGAACTTCCAAAAATTTGAGCTTCAGGTCTCCATTTTCCACCTTGGCAGAAATAAAACCTGGACATTCCAAGGCCCTGGTTCATATTCATCAATAAATAACAAAAACAACAACAACAACAACAAAGTAGCAACAATGGTGCATTGGAAGATCTGCAAGAAATATCATTTGCCTGTAAGCAAGAACTGGTGGGAATCATAAAATAAAGTCATAGAAAATAATAAAGTTACATTGCTCTGGGACTTCAGAATTCAAACAGACAAGCACCTGCAACATAACACCCCGGACTTAACAATTGTCGATAAGAAAGACAAAAAAGTCTGGATAGTGGACGTGGCAGTGCCTAGAGACGGCAGAATAGACGAGAAAGGACTGGAGAAGATAACAAAACACAAAGACCTACAAATAGAAATAGAAAGACTGTGGCAAAAGCAAGCAAGGGTAGGACCAATAGTCATAGGTGCCTTGGGTGCAATCCCAAAACAACTGGAGCACCACTTGAACACCATCATCGGCATTGACAAATTCGCCATTAGTCAATTGCAAAAGGCAGCCTTACTAGGAACCGCTTCCATCCTGCGACGAGATCTGTAACACCATCAGACATCCACATCTGCCTATCCCAGGTCCTTGGTAAGTGATTGTCCACTAGGACTCCGAGATCCCTCTCACAGTTGCTACTATTGAGCAAGGTACCTCCTATACTATACCTGTGCATTTGGTTTTTCTTGCCTAAATGTAGAACCTTACTTTTTTCACCACTGAATTTCATTTTGCTAGATAGCGCCCAGTGTTCAAGTCTGTCCAGATCCTCCTGTATCCTAAGCCTGTCTTCTGGAGTGTTGGCTATTCCTGCCAGCTTGGTGTCGTCTGCAAATTTGATGAGTTCCCCATCTATCCCCTCATCCAAATCATTGATGAAGATGTTGAAGAGCACAGGGCCCAGAACAGAGCCCTGGGGCACCCCACTACACGCTTCCCTCCGTGTAGGTGCGGTTCCGTTGAGGACCACACGCTGAGTACGGCCGGTCAGCCAGCTACGAGTTAGCCATCTCGGCCATTCACAAGTGCATAAAGATTCGGTCCGTCCCTTCCCAATGGACCCCAACAGAATTCTTACTTCATCCAGGGTTTCTCCTCCAGGAGCGGTAAAAGAGAGATATGGCTGCCCGGCTTCTTTGGCCATGGCCTTAAGATCACCGACTGGCCTTCCTTCCGCCACTCCGTAATTCTGTCAAGACAGGAGAGAGAATTATGTAGCGATGTTCTATTATTCCATTCCATTCCATTCTGTAATTCCATGATAAAAACATGATCACCAATGTCCGATAATGGATAAGGCACAAGAAGAAGAATTCCATCTCTATTCCATTCCATTCTGTAATTCTATTCTATTCCCTATTCCCTATTCCATTCCATTTTATTCTATTCCATTCCATTCTCTTCTCTATTCCATTCTTGACAAGGACTGTTTCCTTGGATTAGATTGGCTGAGGCCCCTCTTTTTGGGAAGAGGAACAGCTGCCCTACCTCGTAACGGTGGTCCCTGCACATATCCAGAACTGCAATTTGCAAACCAAGGCAGCCAATGGAAGCAGAGTGCTCTGGCCTTAACCCTAACCCCGTTCTACTCCGCTCTTATGATGACGATGCAGCCATGAAATCTGGTATGGATCTTGTAGGGGCAAGGAAATACTTACTCGTTCTCGAAGGCGGGCGTCGCATTTTACAGGAATGTCTTTGCAGTGCTGGCTATTTCTCAGGATGGAGGCTGTGGTCTGAAATGTTAAAATAAATGTTGAAAAAGATTATTGTTTTATTATTATTATTATTTTAAAAAAATTCCATTTCCAGATTTAGAGGCTGACTCCTGAATAACTCTGGGTGGTTTACAATTTTCTTTTAAAAAAACACACACACACACAAAACGGAAATATAAGTAAGAAAGAACTATGGATAACTGGAAAAACAATACAAAGACCACTTAGCAGGCATGGGAAATGTAGCAGAAAGACACCCCCCCATTTCAGTGTCTAAAGGGTCCACCTTGTTATGTCATATATATTTTTTACTATATAACAGTGGTTCTCAACCTTTTTAATGCCACGACCCCCAACTGGTCGTAAGTCGAGAACTAAACCGGTCATAAGTCGAGGACTAAAACGGTCGTAAGTCGAGGACTAAACAGGTCGTAAGTCGAGGACTACCCAACGGGTCGTAAGTCGAGGACTTTCCCTGCCCGGGAGCGCCGCGCATGCGTGGTTCCGCCCCCTGTGCCTGCCGAGGCGAAGCTGGCAAGCGGCAGAGACGGAGCAGGCCGACCACCAGCTGGCCCAGCCCAAGGGAGGTAAGGCACCCGCCGGAAAAGGGAAAAAAAAATGGCGGACAGCCTTGCTTGGCGACCCCCGTGAAATGGTCGATCAACCCCAAATGGGGTCGCGATCCATAGGTTGAGAACCGCTGCTATATAAGAATGCAATTTTCAAGACTGTATTGTCATTCGATTCACTAATCATTGTAAATGTTACGACTTTATAGTATTTATCCTACAAGAAAAATGAACTCCAAAAACAAACTGCTAGAATTATTACTGAATACAATAGAATGCAATAGAATAGAAAATATGGATTGGATAGAATAGAATAGAGAATAGGAAATAATAAGGGATAGAATAGAATAGAAAATAAGGAATAGAATAGAATAGAAAATAGGAAATAATAAGGGATAGAATAGAATAGAGAATAGGAAATAATAAGGAAAAAAATAGAATAGAGAATAGGAAATAATAAGGAGTAGAGTAGAGTAGAATAGATTAGAATAGAATAGGAGCTGGAAGGGACCTGTGAGGTTTTCTAGTCCAGCCCCCTGCTCAAGCAGGAGAACCTATACCATTTCAGACAAGTGACTGTCTTTTATTAAATTTCTTTGTCTTCCAAAAAGTCTTAAGTATTTCTTCGTGCACAGTTCCACCCACAATATACTTGCCTGCCTTGCCCGAAGCAGATCACTGGTGAAGACATGAGTAAATCTGACATGACGGAGATACATCCCAGCTGCATTGGCTTGCTTGAACCCAGTGTCTGACAGAGGCTCGTCCACACCCTGACCTGCAAGAGCCAGCATGGGAATGCATCTGACGGTTAGGACAAGCATGTTTTAGCCCTCATCCGTTGATCCTCTCCAGAGATCAGGGGACAAGCATTAAGCTACAAAAGGGGGGGCCCTTCTAAAAGAGCTCAGCTGTCTCTGGAAGAAGTCAACAGTCATGTAGCTAAAGGCATCTTCCTTTCTTTTGCCTTAGGTGATCCTAACTTAAAAACATCTGTTTAATTTACACCATCTTGTGAAGGGCCATCTAGGTCACTGGCTCAAGAAACAGCACGGAATAAGATAAGCAGGCTCCGCACTAGACTTTTTCAAGCTAGTGTGGTCAGGAGGCAGAGACCCACAATCTACACAAGTGTACAATCACGAAGAGGTTAAATCAGGGGTCTTCCAACTTGGTCCTTTTATGAAACAGATTAAGGATCAATCTCAAGCACATATCAAAAGAATTTATAATGTATTGGTAGAATTGGATTCAGAAACAGAATTGGTTAAGGATTGTATGATAAAATGGGCACAGAATATACAAGAACCGATCCTATTGGAAACATGGGAGAAAATTTGGATTAGAAATGTAAAATTTACCCAAGCCCAAAACCTAAGGGAAAATTTTTATAAAATGTTTTATAGGTGGCATCTAGACCCACAGAAATTGTCTTGTATGTATCTTAATTTACAACTTAAATGTGGGAGATGTGGAAAAAATCTACGTTGCATAAAAGTATACACCACCTGTACATTCCTCCAATTTCATAAAACCTAATTCTAAACCACCTTATAGGTTTTATAAAAATTCTTTTTCTATTTCAAATTTGGTGTCTATAAAAACGACCCATAAAACCTTCTAAACCTACGTTTTCTTCACCTCAACTACAATTTACTTATAACGGCTGCAAGATTACTAATTGCTCAATATTGGAAAATGAAAGGTTTACCTACTATAGAAGATTGGGTAGTTAAAGTCTCAAACTTAGCTGAAATGGCCAAGATTTCCGCTTATGTGAAGGATTACTCACAAGAAAGATATATATTGGTTTGGAGAGGATGGATTGATTGATTATATTGAGTTGAAATATGGAACAAAAAAATACTATTTGGTTTTTGAATGAATTTTTGATTTTATTTATAATTATGTTAATATTATGGCATTCAATAACTGTATATTTGTTTTAAAAGAGAGTTAAAGGAAGTTACAGATTTGTTAGATTAATAGTTGATTAATGTTAGTTAGATCATGATTATTTTATTGTTAATCCTGTGATTGGCTCTGGGAAGGGAGGGGGGGAGGGATGGAGGGTTGGGTTTTGGGGGAGGGGGGATTTATATTGTAAAATTTTATAAAACTTTCAATAAAAAAAAAAACAACCTTGGTCCTTTTATGACTAGTGGACTCAGCCAGCGTGCTTGCAGTTTGCGACTGTAAACTCAACCGCAAATCCACACCCACGTTTACACCTGCGGTGGGACCTTGAAAACAGACTCCTAAGCTGTTGCTTTGAGGTCACACAGGGAGCAGAGGGGTAGGGCAAAGCTCAAAAGAGATGCTTTGGAACATGCGGGAGCCTTCATGATGCCCCCCACCCCCCACCCTTCTTCACATTGTGTAGGCAGCAAAGTGCTTTTTCAGGTTGTTCTCAGATATACGTAATAGTACCTGGACAAAATCAGTATTTAATTTCCAAATAGAAGAGAAAAAGGGCCCCGTGATTTAATAACCACCAGGAGAAACAAACCTTGCATTATCTTCTCTTTGTTGTATCTTGTTTCTCCACTGTGGGGGAGAAAAAAACAACAGAAACCAAAAACTTAGAAACAGGAGAAAAACCAAGTATGATTGAGATAATAATAATAATAATAATAATAGTAGTAGTAGTAGTAATAGTAATAATAATAATAGTAGTAGTAATAGTAATAATAATAATAATAATAATAATAAATAAAGTTGGAAGGCACCTTGGAGGTCATCTAGTCCAACCCCCTGCTCAGGCAGGAAACCCTATACCAGGGGTAGGCAACCTTGGCTCTTTTTATGACTTCTGGACTTCAATACCCAGAATTCCTGAATCAGCCATACAGACTCAGGAATTCTGGGAGTTGAAGTCCACAAGTCATAAAAGGGCCAACTTTGAAGACCCCTGTATTATAGGATCATGGGGGAAAACTGGAATTACTAAGGCCTGCCAGCACCAATGAAAGCAATCAACGAGAAAAGGGCCTAAGAGGGAAGACCCATATTATATACAAAAAGAACAGGGAGCTCCAACAGTCATAAAGGAGCCAAGTTTGAAGACCCCTGCCTTAACCACTAGGCAAGCTGGCTAGCTGATGCAAGAACCCCCCCCACTGTTCTCGTTCCTCTGTGAGGATCAGCCCGGGCTCCGGGCTTCTTGAGGGTCTTGGGGAGGAGAGACTGGGTCAGAATCAGAGAGCTGGAAGGGACCCGGGAGGTCATCTAGTCCAACCCTCCCACCCAGCGCAGGCAGGAGACCCTGCCCCGTTTCTGACCGAGGGCAGTCCAGTCTCTTCTTGAAAGCCTCTGGTGATGGAGCCCCCACTACAACGGAAGGCAACAAGGCCTTGGTAAGGCCACACTTGGAATACTGCATCCAATTTTGCTCACCACGATGTAAAAAAAATGTTGAGACTCTGGAAAGAGGGCAGAGAAGAGCAACAAAGATGATTAAGGGACTGGAGGCTAAAACATATAAGGAACGGCTGCTGGAATTGTGTATGTCTAGTTTAACGAAGAGAAGGACAAGGGGGGACATGATAGTAGTCTTCCAGTATCTCAGGGGCTGCCCCAAAGAGGGAGTCAAGCTATTCTCCAAAGCACCTGAAGGCAGGACAAGAAGCAACAGATGGAAACTAATCAAGGAGAGAAGCAACCTAGAACTAAGGAGAAACTTCCTGACAGTTAGACCAATTAACCAGTGGAACAACCTGCCTCCAGAAGCGGTGAATGCTCCAACACTGGAAGTTTTTAAGAAGAGACTGGACAGCCATTTGACTGAAATGGTTTAGGGTTCCCTGCCTGAGCAGGGGGTTGGACTAGATGACCTCCAAGATCCCTTCCATTATTAATACTACTAATTATTACTAATTATTAATACTACTAATTATTACTATTACTAATTATTATTAATTACTAATTATTAATACTACTAATTATTACTATTACTAATTATTACTAATTATTACTAATTATTAATACTACTACTAATTATTATTCATACTAATTATTACTAATTATTAATACTAATTATTAATACTAATTAATACTAATTATTATTATTAATACTAATACTAATAATACGAGTACTAACACTAATACTACTAACACTAATGCTACTAACACTAATACTACTAATAATACTACTAACACTAATACTACTAATACTACTAACACTAATACTACTAATAATACTACTAACACTAATACTACTAATAATACTACTCCTACAACTAATAATAACACAGTTCCCTCGGGGCAGGTCGGGAGCAGAAGCCGCCCTGCGCCCATGCGCCACCCGCAGCGCCCGGCTGAAGAGCCGCGGAGGGGGACGGAGGGGCAGAGATCCCATCCTCCGCGGCCCCAGGCAGCAATTCCCCCCGGGGGACCCTCCCCGGCCTCCATTCCGGCGCGGATACTCACTGCCGGATGACCGTTAAGCCGAAGGCAGCCATGCTTGACGCTACCGGTGCCGCCCGCGCCGATGACGTCATGCCGGCTGCGCCGCGCCGCGCCGCGCCCGGGCCAATGGCGGCGGGGCAGGGGTGAAGTCTCGCGAGAAGAGGCGGCGGAGAGGAGGAGGCCGAGGCCCCGCCCGCCTTGGGAATTGGATAGTGGGGGGAGGGGCGGGTTGGCGGGTGTCTCAGGCTGAGGGAAGAAGCGCTTCCCTCATTTTGGGCCTGGTTGTTGTGGGAGCTTTGGGGCTGGGCGAGCCCTGGGGAGGAGAGAGGAGGGGAAGGGAAGGGAAGGAGGGAGGGGAAGGGAAGAAATAGATGGGGGGAAGGCAGGGACGAAAGAAGGGGACAAGGAGAAGAAAGGAAGGAAGGAAAGGGAGAGAAGAAATAAGCCAGGGGTCTTCAAACTTGGCCCTTTGATGACTTGTGGACTTCAACTCCCAGAATTCCTCAGCCAGGCACGCCTGGCTGAGGAATTCTGAGAGTTGAAGTCCATGAGTCATAAAAGGGCCACGTTTGAAGACCCCTGAAATAGGCAGAAGGAAGGGAAGGAGGAAACTGGAGGAAGGAAAGGAAGAAATTGGCAGAAGGAAGGAAGGAGGTAGAGTGGAGGAAAGTAAAGGAAGAAATGGAAGGAAGGAAGGAAGAAATAGGCGGAAGGAAGGAAAGGAAAAGAGTGGAAAGGAAGAAATAGAAGATAGGAAAGGAAATAGAAGAAAGGAAGAAGAAATTGGCGGAAGGAAGGAAGGAGGTAGAGTGGAGGAAAGTAAAGGAAGAAATGGAAGGAAGGAAGGAAGAAATAGGCGGAAGGAAGGAAAGGAAAAGAGTGGAAAGGAAGAAATAGAAGAAAGGAAGAAGAAATTGGCGGAAGGAAGGAGGTAGAGTGGAGGAAAGTAAAGGAAGAAATGGAAGGAAGGAAGAAATAGGCGGAAGGAAGGAAAGGAAAAGAGTGGAAAGGAAGAAATAGAAGAAGGGAAGAAGAAATTGGCGGAAGGAAGGAAGGAGGTAGAGTGGAGGAAAGTAAAGGAAGAAATGGAAGGAAGGAAGAAAGAGGCGGAAGGAAGGAAAGGAAAAGAGAGGAAAGGAAGAAATAGAGGAAAGGAAAGGAAATAGAAGAAAGGAAGAAGAAATTGGAAGGAAGGAGGTAGAGTGGAGGAAAGTAAAGGAAGAAATGGAAGGAAGGAAGGAAAGGAAAAGAGTGGAAAGGAAGAAATAGAAGAAGGGAAGAAGAAATTGGCGGAAGGAAGGAAGGAGGTAGAGTGGAGGAAAGGAAAAGAAGAAATGGAAGAAAGGAATGAAGAAATAGACGGAAAGGAAAAGAGTGGAAAGGAAGAAATAGACAAAAGAAAAGAAAGGAAGAAATTGGAAGGAAGAAAGGAGGTAGAGTGGAGGAAAGTAAAGGAAGAAATGGAAGAATGGAAAGGAAGAAATAAAAGGAAGAAATAAAAGAAAGGAAAGGAAATTGGTGGAAGGAAGGAGGTACAGTAGAGGAAAGTAAAATAAAGAGAAAGGAATGAAGAAATAGGCAGAAGGAAGGAAAGGAAGAAATTGGAAGGAAGGAAGGACATAAGAGTGGAGGAAAGGAAAGGAAACGAAAGGGGGAAGGAAAGGAAAAGAACAGAAAGGAAGAAATAGAAGAAACAAAATAGCCGGAAGGAGGAAGAGTGGAGGAAAGGAAAGGAAGAAATAGGCAGAAGGAAAGAAGGGGGAAAGGAAAGGAAAGGAAGAAATAGACAAAAAGGAAAGGAAGAAATAGGCAGAAGGAAAGGGGAAAGGAATGAGGGAGGAAGGAGAGAAGGAAAGAAAAGTGTTAAAAATGGTCATAAATCACTATTTTCAGTGCCATTGTAACTTTGAACGGTCACTAAATGAATTATTGTACGTTGAGGACTACCTGTATTCCTTAGTTCCTAACAGATCTATTCCTCTCCCCATAATTGCCAGGACCAAGCATCTGAATTTTGATCACATGATCATGGGAATGCTGCAAGTGTGAAAAACGGTTATAAGTCACTTTTTTCAGTGCTGTTGTAACTTCGAACGGTCACGTAATGAACTGTTGTAAGTTGAGGACTAGCTGTAGAAGATTTCTATCTGGACTTAGAATAACAGAGTTGGAAGGGACCTTGGAGGTCTTCTAGTCCAACCCCCTGCTCAAGCAGGAGACCCTATACCAGTTCAGATAAATGGTTGTCCAGTCTCTTCTTAAAAAGGTCCAGTGTTGGAGCACCCACAACTTCTGGAGGCAGGTTGTTCCACTGGTTAATTGTTCTAACTGTCAAGAAATTCCTTTTTAGTTCCAGGTTGCTTCTCTCCTTGACTAGTTTCCATCTGTTACTTCTTGTCCTGCCTTCAGGCGCTTTGGAGAATAGCTTGACTCCCTCTTCTTTGGGGCAGCCCCTGAGATACTGGAACCCTGCTATCTTTGTCCTTCTTTTCACTAGACTAGACATGCCCAATTCCCGCCTGACTTGTTAAGCAGGACATCCCCGATTCCTCTTAAACTCGTTGCCATTCAATCCTGGCTCGCTGTCTCGTGCCTGGCCTGTAACTGTATTTTGGGGGTAGATCCATTCAATGACCCATTAAACATTTCAGTCAGGTGAGACTCTCAGCTCCTCTAACTTAAGGGCTCTTCCTCCAGTATTACCGCAGCTCTAAAACAAAAACACGCACGCTTGGGAGACACGCTCATGCACACATGCACGTTGACAGGTCTTAAAAGGAGGTGGAACTGGTTAGACTTGCTCCCCTTCCACCCACCGTTGTGTTGATTGAGCAAGGTACTCAGTCCTCTTGTGCGCTCTTCCTTCTTCCTTCTTAGTATCTAGACCTTCAGGTAGACCAAAAAAATCAGGCTTAAAAACTGCAGTTTGACTGCAGGAGGCATCAGCCCGCGCAAGAGAGAGAGAGGTAAGTGGTCCCCTCATTCTGCTAGGGTATTTTTTTCTTCTTTTAAGTCTTAAGTCCAGGCAGGGCTGCATCAAAGGAAAAAAAAATATACTCACAAACAAATAAAAAGAAATCAAGCTTCCAAGTAGCCATTTTAGCGGTGTTTAAAAGAGAGAAATCATTTCTGCTTTTACTTCCTCTGCACTTTATATATTGGAGCGCGGCCAATAGCCCTTTTTTGTATTTCAAAGAGTCAACGCTGCAGACTTTTCTTCCTTTTACCGATGCTGTCCAGTACGATACTTGTAAGCTGAGAGCGATTAGCAAGAAGTGGCAGGTTTTCTTGGGGAGTTTTTTAAGGTTTATACTTAACGAATTCAGAGGACAGTATTTCAAAAGTGATTTTATTTTTTATTTTTTTTTATTCCTGCAGTCATTTTCAAAATATTCTAAAAGTTGCCTAATCGGTCACTTTTATTTTTTTTTTAAGCAAAAGGAAGGCACGCTTGGTATGTATTTCACCTGGGAAAAGCAAAAGCAGTTCTACTGACCAAATTCAACCCCAGCTGGGATCTTGAGCTATAAAAATCGGGCCCACTTTCTTTTATCAAGGGGGGCAATAATCACGTGGCTCATAAATTAGAAGCATAAATTGAAAGATTACCTAACCGTCACCCGTCCTATCAAGAAGTTTTCATTTGCAGGTGTGCTGTTGGCGTGGGGGAAAATCTCAGAGAAATTCAGTCTGCAGATTGTTTCTGTCAGTCTTCTGTAGAAGCATGTAAGACCTCAGCCTGCATAATCTCCGGCTTAAGTGAACGATGTGGAAAAGTCCCGATCAGGGTTTGTTTTTTTTTTCCCCTAGCGAACGCAAGAGAAGCACTTGACACACTGTTATGTTTCCTGTGGTTAAATTTCCTCACCGCCCCTGTTAAACTCAACGATGACAAGCAAAGGCCAATTTCCAAACGCTACGATAGTAGTAGTAATAGCAGATCTACAGTATTTCCTGTAAAAAGTTGAAGGCCTGGCTGCACTCCCCTAATGCTGAACGTTGTGCTGCCGTCATTCTCACAAGGTAAAGACGCAACAAACTCAGTTTAACGGAGGCAACCCTTTACAAGTTGCATTGGTGGCCAGGCTGCCTTTCTTATCATTCTGGACCTGATTAATCTCTTCCATCAAGAGAAATCTGGAGGCTTTCGGCACATTTATTTAAGATTAGAGAATCGAACAGATATGTGCTTAAGCCCAATAGCCGGGTACACACGAGAGGCTGATAAGTCTGTTCCTATTTCTACTTGAGATGTTGGTCAACTCCTTCAGGGTCCAAGCTGGGGCTTCAGAGATAGCTCTCCCCAAATTGCTGGGGGATAATAATAATAATAATAATATAATAATAATAATAATAATAATAATAATAAGGAGGAGGAGGAGGAGGAGGAGGAGATGATGATGATGATGATGATGATGATGATGATGTTGGAAGAGACCTTGGAGATCTTGGATACACCAGACTTGGATACATGGAAGTAAATAGAATAACAGAATAACACAGTTTGAAGGAACGTTGGAGGTCATCTAGTCCAACCCCCTGCTCAGGCAGGAAACCCTATATCATTTCGGACAAATGGCTGTCCAGTCTCTTCTTCAAAACTTCCAGTGTTGGAGCATTCTCCGCTTCTGGAGGCAGGTAGTTCCATTGGTTAATTGTTCCAACTGTCAGGAAATTTCTCCTTAGTTCTAGGTTGCTTCTCTCTTTGATTAGTTTCCATCCGTTGCTTCTTCTCCTGACTTCAGGCGCCTTGGAGAATAGCTTGACTGCCTCTTCTTTGGGGCAGCCCCTGAGATACTGGAAGACTGCTATCCTGTCACCCCTGGTCCTTCTCTTCATTAAACTAGACATCCCCAATTCCAGCAACTGTTCCTTGTATGTTTTAGCCTCCAGACCTCTAATGTCAGTTGCTTTTAGCTGCTTACCTGGAACAAAAGCAGCTTCAGGGGGGAACATTGAACTTGACCAAAGAAAATTAGACCTTTAGGAGGAGATATCAAGCATGGCAGGTTATCTTCAAGTCGCAGTCCTTCAAAATCTATTTTTAATACTA